CATTCTGTGTGATTTATAAGCGTTTTGAAAAATGGGGACATGGGGTAATGTCCTGAAAAGTCACCTTCTCCTTTGTCACAAAAACGCGCACACACACACACACACTCTCACTCACACACATCTCACTTACACACACACTCTCACACACACACACAGAGTTGTACCTGTTGCGTCTGTCTGCTGCTGCTGGTTCTCTGAGGGTGGAACAGCAGCCATGAGGTCAGAACCGGATCCACATTGACAGCGATGCCCTGAACGCTCACCAACAGCACCGCAAGCTGTTCGAATGACATGAAATGATGACCGAATGATAATTTTTGTTTAGCTGGGAGTGTCTGCTCTCTCTATGCTTTCATCTTAAACCCCTGTTGAGTTGATTTATTTGTTTCTTTATCATTACTAGAGGTGGTATATTGGGAAATGTATTTAGTTTGCTGAACCTCATGTTGTACTGTATGTTTTGTTTTGTCCAGAGGGCTTTTTGTATGCACTTAATTTTGAGGGCATCTCAACTGGTCAAAGTTTCTTATTTGTTATTCACTTTGGTTTTGGGATTGCATCTGAACTCCTTTACGGACTACCATTTTGGACGATCTTGGTTTTTATTCTTCTAACATCTACAATGCTGCGATGAACCAAGGATATTTGCGATAACTCTGGACTTCAATGTTGGTTGGACATTTAGAAGGTTTTGCCTCCAAGTATGAACACATAGATAACACTGCTCCATGAAATACGATCTAGACTTCTGAGATGCTGAAGTTGTATGCTTTTCTAAAAAGGGAAATATATGTTATTCAATGCTGATTGATCTCCCTTCATTTTTTATGTGACGTTTGATATTGGTAATTGTTACAGATTGGTCTATGATCAGTTTGAACTATATATTTAAGTGAGACGAGACATTCATGACTTGCATCAAACTTTACTGAAGGACTTCACATGTCTGTAGCTTCATTTCAAAAACAAAAAAAAACACTTGTAACAAAACTCATAGCTACAATTTCTACTTGTCAATAAAAGCATTTCAGTCATTAAGTCTGTAGATCAAAAGTCTTTTAAGATCTTGAGAAAAACAAATAGTGTGACGGGACCTGAACATGTTACTTCTGAAAGAACACACAC